AAAAAAAAAAAAAAAAAAAAAAAGATTACTTGGGAAGAAAAGAATTTGAAAACACTATATGAAGGGCGAGGTCCCAGGCATTATCCCATAGAATACCTTTCCCTATTTTTGATTTCTCTCTCTCCACTCCCTCATTTCCTTCTATTCACAAACACCTGGTAAAGACTTGCCTTGTGCCAGTCGTGTGGGAAGTCTGGAGGTCATGGTGATGCATAGAAGAAGCCAGAAGTCCTTGCCCTCAAGGAGTCTCTCTGGAGTGGGAGGGATGGCCATGGTGGTGTGCCAAGCACCGACGAGCAAGCGCGGGAGCCAGCCTGCCTGTGAGGGGACCTGGGGCAAAGTGGGGCAGGAGGAGAGGCCTTGTCAGCTGGGTTTTGAAGAGTAAGGAGGAGTTAATCCAGTAATGGAAGGGTGCATAGGCTTCCTTAGATTGAGCTGACATTGGCTTTTTCCCCATGGACAGCCTAGTTTTCCCTCTGAGTTGACACAGAACACAGAATGAGTTTACTCTCTAAAGGCCCTCAGGTATTTGTACACTGGTGTCATGTCACCCCTCTTTTCTTCCTGAGGCCAAGGGTGAAGCATGATAAGAGGATACTTTTGGGTGGGACATGAACAGAGAACTAAGATTCAGTCAGATAAAGGTTTAACTATTTTTTTAAAAATGTTTTCATTTATTTTTGAGAGAGAGAGAGAGGGACCGCAAGCAGGGGAGGGGCAGAGAGAAAAGGAGACAGAATCTGAAGCAGGCTTCAGGCTCCAAGCTGTCAGCGCAGAGCCATGTGCTGGGCTCAAAACGCATGAACCGTGAGATCTTGACCTGAGCCGAAGTCGGATGCTTGACAGACTGAGCCACCCAGGTGCCTCAATAAAGGTTTAACTATTAATTCATGACATAGATCCAGAGACTCCACATATTTGGGTATCTTCCTGGGATTTAGTTTCCACTTCTCTCTGTTCCCTTTTGATGGTGGTACAGCATTCAGGTAAACTTCTAGAGGAAGTAGAACATGTTAGATAGTTCATAGTCTCCTTTGCTAAGTCTTTTCTCATAGGCTTCAGTTTTAGCCTTGCCGAGTACTGCGTGGGTTTTGTTTTTAACTCTGTCCAGAAGAGTTTATTTCTTTTTTTTTTTTTTTAAGATGAGTTTTGTTTCTTTTTTATTTCTAGGAGAGAGAGAGAGAGAGAGAGAGAGAGACAGCGTGAGCAGGGGAGGGTCAGAGAGAGAGGGAGTCACAGACTCTGAAATAGGCTCTAGGCTCTAAGCTGGCAGTCAGCACAGAGCCCGACGCGGGGCTCGAACCCACGAACCGCGAGATCATGACCTAAGCGAAAGTCGGACGCTTAACCGACTAAGCCACCCAGGCGCCCCCAGAAGAGTTTATTTCTTGATGTGTTGTTTCCTTGACATTTCTTTGCCAGTAACATTTTCTTCTCATTGGGAAGTAGTAGCTATAGAATTCTTGTTAAAAGGTCTTTTTTAGTATTCCTGCCCATAGCAGAGTAACCTCTTTTAAGCTTGTCATATGAGACTTCATTCTTAACTTGATTGGGGAGGAAAATATGAGTGCTTCGCTGGTTTAACCTTGGGCCCCAGACACATGGTACACAAATGGAAAGCGTGGAAGAGTTTCTTGGAAAATCAATTAGGTTGCCTACTAAGTAGTTCAACAATGTTCTCCATTAAAATGGCATTATGCCCTGCCTGCAGTTCCTGACCAAAGGTCAACTTTGCCACAGCTCTGAAATTTTCCACTGTCCTTTGCTTTGAAGGTTTCCACTTAGCACAGGCCAGGGTTTTTCAGCTGGCACTATGGTTGCATGAGCTAATATCAGTCTTTAATATGGGCTTCAGTTTCCTTATTTATAAAAGTAGATTGTTTTCCTAATCCCTTTTTGTAATAGTTGACGATTTCAGATAGTTAATGTTTCTTTTTTTTTTTCATTAAGTGGAAAAGACCTTATATAAATTGGCAAAATCCTGGGTTCTTTTAGGCTCTCTATTTACTTTGGATGCGTTTGTCCCTAAACTTGATTATCTGTTTTTCCATTTTAAATGTTCTTTTGTGGAGAATGCTGGTTGAAAGCCTTGTCATATCCTAGGCAAGATAGGATATTGTCTTTTTATTGTTAGTGAAGGGATTAATGAGGACTTTTCAGGTAAGTTGGCTTCCCCTTGATTCTGTTATATCCACTTCTACTTAGGGGCCAATTTTATTTAAACATGCTAGAAAATTTGAATTTTCCATCAGAATAATATGTTTAGCCTCCCAGCAGCACTGTAAGAACAAGAGGATTTACTGGATACCACCAGTGTTGAACGTCAAAACTTTGTTGCCACTGTTATCTGTTTTTGAAAACAGTGTCTTTAAAAGCACAAGAAACTCCGTGTCTTGAGTATGGTGTGGGGTTTGTATTTTAATGTGCTGAACTGTTTGGAAGTTTTTGCAATGACAGGAGAACAGGATAGTCTTCCAAATCTTGAATGCCTGATGTTTTGCCCTAAAAATTAGAGGTTGGTTGGAATGTAGGCTGGTCTCAGTGGGTTTAACAGGATGCTAGTGATTATCCCATATCTATGATGTCAAGAGTATTGAGATTGGGGATCTGGAAATGTGAAGGAGACCTGGCCCCAAATTGCTATGAGACTTTGGGCAAAAATAGTAAATGAAGGTTATTCAAATGTGCACAAATGTTCATAGCAGTATTATTTATAATAGCCCCAAAATGGAAACACCCCAAATGTCCATCAACTGATATGGAAGGATATCAGATGGATAGACAAAATGTGATTTATCCATTCAGTGGATATTATTCAGCAGTTAAAATGGAATGGAGTACTATTATATGCTGTGATGTGGATGGACCTAGAAAAATTATGTTCAGTAGAAGTCAGTCACAAAAGGCCACGCATTGTATGAAATGTTCAGAATGAGAAAAGTAAATTAGTGGTTGCCTGGGTCTGGCGGAAGTGGTGGGTTAGAGTAGAGGATGGGGAGTGGCTAGTAATGGGTGCAAGGGTTCTTTGGGGGGAGGGGGGCGGGGGAGGTGATGCAAATGTTCTAGAATTAAGATGCAAATGTTGCTTGTTGTACAGCTCTGCAAATATATGAAAAACCATTGTTTGCTTTACAAGGTGAACTTGTTAACATATAAAATGTTTCAAATCTGTATTAAAATGAGGCTAAATAAGCTAATTTCCAAGATCTTCGTGTGTTTTTTTTTTTATTTTAATGAGGCCAGATGTGTTATTGAGTGCTCAAATCTTATAATTCATAGGAAATAGTAAAAAGGCAGTACTGTATGCTGACAGGACCTTTTCTTGAATGCTCCCGTGCATCCAACTGTCCACTAGAGGACAGCAAAGCCCATTTTAGCCATTTTCTGCCTGTGCTCAGTTGGGCACTCTTTATCAAGACTGAACCTAAAATTTTTTTTAATGTTTATTTAGTTTTGAGCGAGCAAGCATGAGTGGGGAAGGGGCAGAGAGCGAAGAAAACAATCTGAAGCAGGCTTCAGGCTCTGAGCTGTCAGCACAAAAGGGCAACATGGGGCTTGACCTCTCGAGCTGCAAGATCATGACCTGAGCCGAAGTCAGATGCTTAACCGGCTGAGCCACCCAGGTGCCCTGAAACTAAAATTCTTAAATTTGTATTCCATTGAAGGGATGTGGGTTCTTACCATACTATGAGAATCTGTGTACCATAGGACAGCTCTCCATGGCATCATGGGAGCAACCCAGCAAGGCAAACTGTGATTGTGGACTTCACTTTTTTTTGAGGAGCTCTGAGGAGGGAAGGAAGGAAATTGTGCTATAGTTTGAAGGCAGATGTTGAAATTACCTGCAGCGGAGGTTGGAGTAAGGAATGAGCCAGATTCTACTAGAATTTTAGTGGCTTCTTAAATAGACTTTTTGTTGTGTTTATATTACTTATTCTTGTTATTCATGAATTGATACACACAGGGCTCTCTGTGGTTCTCTCTTTCCATGAGAAAGAGAAAGGGCAGCCTTTGTTCCCCACTCTCAAACCTCACACCACAGCTTCAGAAGCAGCTCAACGGTCTTTGTCCCTTGGTAGCTCTATTTTAAAGCCTGTGGCCTCCGGGATAATTAGCCTTTCCTATAAGAGAAAGACTGTATTACTTAAAATAGACCTCCTTGCCTAGGGCAGGGCAGAGATGTGCATCGGTGGTATTGTCAGTCAGCTAGGCCTGGTAGCCAGGTTGTAAAAGCAGTAGGCATCGCTCATTGAACTGGAGTTCAGTTACAGCCAGTTAAGCAATACGATCCCCACAAGGTGGATGACAGTAGGTCATCCTACTCTAAGCTTCTGGTGTAGCGCCTAAGCTTTACCTCGTCCATCTCTGCTGTATTTTCTGACTGTCTGAGAATGATAATCCCTTTAGAGGCATTCGTTTATGCAGATGCTTACCTAATCGTTTAGGGAAGAAATGTTTTGAAGACATAAACATCTTTTGACTAGTGAAACAGTAATACAAATAAATTATCCTAAAATGGCATTTTTGTTTTTCCTTAGAATGTATATTTTATAGGAGAGAGGGTTGTGTTTATCATTGAATTTTTTTAAGTTTATTTTGAGAGAGGGCACACATACGTGCTAGTGAGAGCAAGGATCCTAAGCAGGCTCCACTCTGTCAGTGCAGAGCCGGATGTCAGGCTCAATCTCATGAACGTGACCCGAGCTGAAATCCAGTCAAGAGTTGGACACTTAACCGATTGAGCCACCCACGTGCCCCGTCCAAGAAATTTTTTACCCCTCCCCAAACTGTGTTTTCTTTGGCATATTCTGAATTAATTTGCATTTTCTGAGGATGGGAAGAGGCAATGATTATTATGCTGAGAATAACTGCTCAGGAAGAAGTGAGCCTGAGCCCTGGGCCTCTGAAATTTTCACTTAGAAGTTGGCGATAAAGTCAAGAGGAGTACTTCAGATCAGTACTTAATGTTTTTAAGTATTGGGGCGCCTGGGTGCTTGGTCTTTTAAGCAACTGACTTCTGCTCAGGTCATGATCTTAGTTTGTGGGTTTGGGCCCTGCATCGGGCTCTGTGCTGACAGCTCAGAACCAGAAGTCTGCTTTGGATTCTGTCTCCCTCTTTCTCTATCCCTCCTCTGCTCGCACTCTCTCTCAGAAGTGAATAAACATTAAAAAAAATTAAAATATTTTTTAACTGTTGTAGAATGCTTTATGGAGAGTATTTACTATAATTTCCAGGCCCTATAATCTGGGGTTGTGGCACATAGCGCAGGCGCCAATCATCTTGTTGACCAGAGTTGCAGTAGCTACATGACATCGCCACACACTTAGCATGAACACACACAAGTGTTCTGCTTTCAAATGCTACTGAATCTTTTAAGTGGATTTTCACTGGAAGAGATGGGTTTCTGGTCACCCACCCCGCCCAACCCCCTGCCTTAATTCTTTGTGTAACCTTTGGCAAGTCTTTTCACTCTTCAGAGCCTTGATTTCTTCTATAAAATAAATGGGTGAGACTGGAAAAGCTCAGGAGGTAAACATACCCAGTGTTCTCTCACCCCTCCACCTGTTGCTGATGCTCCCAGTTCATGCTCTCTGGCAGTATTTCACCAGCAGTCTGCATGTCGTGTCCTTGAGGCCACTGTAGCAGCGCTGACCTGGTGTGGTCTCTGTTTAGGTTGCGTCTGCTCTGGAGAAATGGAAGACAGCAATCCGTGAAGCTCAGACTTTTTCCAGAATGCATGTTCTACTTGGGATGCTTGATGCCTGTATCAAGTGGGATATGTCAGCAGAAAATGCTAGATGCAAAGTTTGTCGAAAGAAAGGTATATTTAAATCTGTGTTGCATGTCTGAGTGTAATAGGGACTAAGGCTTCCATTCCAAAGATAATTTCCTCCCGTGAAGAATTCTGTGCACACAGCTTTCAAGTGTAGTGGGACAGATTTTGCCACCTTCTAGAGGTCTGTAAAATGCTGCTATTTAAAGTAACATGACAGCAAATCAGAGCAAGCCCTTTGTCCTCAATTTTGAATATAAGAGCAACTTATCTTGCCAATCTTTAAATTTTCTGCAGGGAACAAAACCTAAAAATTTTAAATCTGAGTTTTTAGTTACCCATGAAGTAGGATGTTCTACCAGCAGAGGGCGGTATTTGTGCATTGGGAAGAACACTACAGTTTGGAGTCTTACAGAGCAAGGCATTTGAGACTCTAATGTTACTAACTTTCAGAACCTGTGTATAAGGAACTTAATGACTAATAGCCCTCAAGTGATTGACTTCTCAGTGGCTAAAGTTATTTTGTGAAGTAGGTTAGGATTTAGTTCCCAGAGATGAAAAGATCCTGTGTAAAACGCATCAGTTGCTGTAGACACTGTTTTTTAGAATGAACGTTCTAGAGGGAAGTGACCGTGTCAGGTTGACTTCATGTATCTTGAAACTGAGTGGTTTAAGAGAACCATATCAGATAGGAGTTGGGAAGCCTGGGGGAGGGTGTCGAGGAAGAGAATGGGCAGGGAGTGTTAATATTTCATGGGGGATTCCTTTCTTAGTGGGAGAGGAGCATCAACATTACATTTCCTGCTAGAACTCGTATTTTTGCTACTTAGCAAATGTTTTAACTGTCCTCTCCTAGGTGGAGTTGGATTTGGGGACAGAAGTTAGAAGACCAGAGTCTTAAATTACCAATAGTCTATAGTTTATGCTTCATTTCTTCTCAGAAATGACTGCGTTTTTTAATTTTTTTTTAATGGGATAACACTTTGCTAGACTGTTCCCCCATGGTGTTGATGGAGGGTGAGTGGCTCTGTGTTACAGCTTGCTGACCGTTGCTGTGCTCCCGACAATGCTCTCCAAGTTTATCTCCTTGCAGGTGAGGATGACAAACTGATCTTATGTGATGAATGTAACAAAGCCTTCCACCTGTTCTGTCTGAGGCCAGCCCTCTATGAGGTGCCAGATGGTGAGTGGCAGTGCCCTGCTTGCCAGCCTGCTACTGCCAGGCGCAACTCCCGTGGCAGGTGAGAATTTCTTCTTTTAAAAACAGATGAAATGGCTGGTTTATAATTAAGCCTTAGTTATTCAAACTTAATTATTCTAAGGAGCTTTAAGTTCATCTTTTGCATATGGAGCCTGATCACTTAAGGTATTACAGTAAGAGCTCAGAGGATTCTGATTTCACTTTAGCTTAACGTTGACATTTCTCATCTTCACTGTGAGACATGTTCTGTATCTTCTTGATCCTACCGTTTTCTCAAATAGCAGAATGTCTCCCTTTGCCTTTTACTTCCACTTGACCCACTTCTTAATTTGTGATAACTTCTGCAACCACCCACTGCTACAAATCCCCAAACTCCGTACTTTCCTTACGCGTACCTATTCCTTACGCGTACCTTTTTCTTCCCTGTCATGATTACAGTTCTGCTGTCAACTGGGACTTCTTTCTCTCTCTCAACTTCCATGCTCATTTGCCAGACATCGTCCAGATGTCTTACAAATCAGTCATCTGCTGTGTACTCTCTGTGGTCCCTGATGTCAATTGGCCCTCTTACATCTCTCATCTGGGCTCCCTCAGTGGCTTCTTAACTCTTTACCTCCTGTCTTTCCCCCTCTTATTCATTTAGCGTTTGTGGTGACACCAGTACAGTTTACATAAGGCAGAGATCTGTTTGTGTTACCACCCTGTTTCAAAACTTTAATTTTTTCCACTGCCTTTCCTTGTTATATAATACTGGTCTTTTTTGTTGTTGTTGTTGTTGTTTGTTTATTTTGAGAGAGACAGAGACAGAGCAAGTAGGGCAGGGGCAGAGAGAATCCCAAGCAGGTTCCACACTGTTAGCACAGAGCCCAATGCAGGGCTCAAACACATGAAACCATGAGATCATAACTTGAGCTGAAAACAAGAGTTGGACACTTAACTGACTGAGCCACCTAGGTACCCCCGGTCTCTGTTTAAAAAAATTTTTAACATTTACTTTTGAGAGACAGAGATAGAGCACGACCAGGGGAGGAGCTGAGAGAAAAAGAGACACAATCCAAAGCAGGCTCCAGGGTCCGTGCTGACAGCAGAAAGCCTGACATGGGGCTTGAACCACAAACTGGGAGACTTTGACCTGAGTTGAAGTTGGATGCTTAACCAACTGAGCCACCCAGGCGCCCCTCCCAGTCTATGTTTTTATGAGCCCTTATTCACATTTTGTGTCCTTTTTGCAGACTGTTCATTGGGTATCCTTGCCTCTTGTGCTTTCCTCCTACCTGGGAATATTAGAACTCCCTAGAATTTTTGGTTAGGCTATGCTCTACCAAAAATTTCACTGGTTTTTTGAAGTGTTTTTATATTAAAATTTGTTCCTCCTCTTTGTTCCTGCTGAGCATGCAGTCTCACAGTCTTTGGTGCATCTTGCCTCTGTGGTGAGGCTTACACGTAACTGTCTTCCATGAGATTGTTGGCTCCCTGAGAGTGGAGGTGGTGCTTTGTTCACACCCTGATCCCCACAAGGCCAAGCACAGGGGCCTTGTTAAAAGGAGATGCCTCAGTACTGGCCAAGTTAACACCATTGTTTTCCACATTGCAGTTGGAGGTTGTGAAGGAGCAGCTTCTAGGTGTTCTGGCTTGGTCTCTGAGAGGGCAGAGCTGTTTGATCCTGACCCCATCTGACAGTGTTACTCAGTTATTTCTTGCTCTGCTCCAGCCGCACTTAGAGCCGAGTAAGGCACACTCCTCTGAAACGGCGGGGCTTTGGACCAGCTGTTCGGAGCCGGGATTAGCATTGCTTTGATGTCATGGTCATCTGCAAGCTGTCCCACTCTTGGAAGGGGGCTCTCAAGGTGGAGAGACACCTGTCCAGGCTATTGGTTCATTCAGCCCGCCCCAGGGTTGGAAGCACCTTTTCATATCTGAAATGTTATTTATCTGGCCGGTTCTGTGAGACAAAAGGAATAGGTTTTGTGTTGTTTTATGTGAGGAGAGGTGGAGTTGTGTTTTGGTCTTGATTTCTGTTGCTGTTGGTGTCTCCTCCAAAGCATTGCTGGCCTGGCTGGGGAGGCACGCCATTGAAGCCAGGGCTTTCATTCTGTTTCCCCTGGCCTGGTCTTGTCATCACACCTGCCTTGCCGGTGAGACGGAGAAAGCTGCGGGGGTGTGGGAATTCATCCTCTCTCGGGAGCACTCGGGCCTTGAGCCACGTTCCTTCCATACATGTTTTTCCCTCCCCACAGGAATTACACTGAAGAGTCTGCCTCTGAGGACAGTGAAGATGATGAGAGCAATGAAGAGGTGGAGGAGGAGGAGGAAGAGGAGGAAGAAGAAGATTATGAGGTGGCTGGTTTGCGATGTAAGTATTCAGTTTGCCTTCACAGTTGACCTCACGGTTTTTCAGGCTGATGGTTACTACGTTGGCAGTAGACACCCACCCAGCGATGCTGTGAGGCCACGTTTCTCTCACATGTTGTCGCTGTGGGGTGACGCCACTGCCTTGGTTTCAAATGGGTTTTCAAGATGCCATTTAACCACTTTCCTAGTGGAAGGTTGGATCAGCCCTACGATAGTTCCGGTTGGCCCAAGATTGGGTGGAATTCAAGCCCCAAGTGTGTTGATGACGAGTCTGCTGGTTCAAACCTCTCTGTGGGGACAGGGAGGACAGTGGGTAAGGAAGGCCGAGGCCCATTGTTGTCTCTTATCATTTGTTTTGGCCTCCAGTGCAGTGCGGCTCAAGTTGTAGTGATTTTCTCTCACTTATGTGATATGCAGGTCTATAGGTTTGCTAGTTTGAAAAAGAGAAGACTTGTTTTCTCATGGCTTAGGGGTGTTGTTTGGGAGGTTCAGATCTGTTTCTCACTAGATGCCAGCAGGAGCCGGGGGTGGGGGAGGCCTTGTCATTTACACCCAACCTCGTTGACTCCCTCACTCTGTGATGGTCATTTTTCATGAGTCCTTTTCATGATTAAGCCTAACGTCCTGCAGCCTAGCCTTTCAACAGCCTTCTCCTTTGCAGAATATACCCTTCCTTGTAGGTTGGTAGAAAAGAGACCACAAATCAAGATTTTGATGAGCTTTCGAGGAGATGGTACAGTTCCCAAGATCACAGCACGTCTCGGTAGAGTCTGAGAAGATGTTTGGTGTGACCAGTCTTCTGGCGGTGGTGTTGCTAAAACCTGAGGGGTTTGGGTGTGCCCGCCTGACCCCATCTTCCCAGTCTTAGGGCTCTCATTTGGGACCCGTTAATTTCTCAGTGCTGTAGGGTCTTTTTGTTTGTTCCCTAGGCATAATTTTCCATTTATCCAGGGTAAGGAGACACGTAGTCCCTTACAGGAAGAGGCTTCATCTGCTGGCTGGAGAGCGCGGGTCAGATGCACTGTTGTCTGGGAATAGATTCTGAATGTAACATTGTGTCGTTTGTTTTCAGGTAGTGGGTGGTTTCACTTGGGAGTTACCTTCTCTTTCCAAGGAATTGTTCTCTCTCCAGGTTTTTAGGGTCTTGTCTGCCAAAAGGGTCTAGGAAGTATTAGTATACTTCTGAGCCCTTTGCTGCACCTTTTTTTTTTTTTAAGTTTTTTATTTATTTCTGAGAGAGACAACGTGAACAGGGGAGGGTCAGAGAGAGAGAGGGAAACACAGAATCTGAAACAGGCTTCAGGCTCTGAGCTGGCCATCAGCACAGAGTCCGACGCGGGGCATGAACCCACGAACTGTGAGATCATGACCTGAGCCGAAGTCAGATGCTTAACCAACTGAGCCACCCAGGCGCCCCCGTCTGCTGAACCAAAGATGTGTTCCCTAGAACAGCACAAGGCCCTGGATTGGTGGCTGTCTCTAGCATTTTTAGTTTCATCCTTGGTGTCAGCTTCTTATTCTCTCTTTCAAGCCTGGTCTTGAGCTTAGAAACTGTAAAATAGCTGATGAAGAGTTACCAGAGTCCAGAAGTGAATGTAAAACACTGGTTATTGATTCTTTGTGTCACTGACTCTGTAGACCCGTCTCTGTCCAGATGTTATCTCCCTACTTTCAAGGGAAAGTGTGTTTAGTGGAGAAGCTTTGAGCTAACCCTTATGGGGCATCGCTACCTGAGGGTGTACGGAGAAACATTGGTTTGTCCGACATTGAACACCTGTTGTAAACCTGAGACACAGGTCATCTTGGGGTCTTTGTATTCTTTATTGTCCCTTTAGGGGTTGTGGGCAAAGGCTCTTAAGGAAGTGGCCTGGTCCACTGTCTGGTTTCCAAAAATGCAAGAAAGCAGGACTAGGGCGAGCCAGTAATTGGGTTTGATGAGGGGGACTTCGTGTGGGTGGGGTCAGCTTTGCTCTGAGAAGGTTGTGCTGGTGAGTGTAGGATTCCTCAGGGAACTAGGAAGGGCCCTACAGTCAGGTTCCCCCTGCTGCGTAAGGATAGGCATTCACAGGCTGAGCTGGGGCTGTGGGGATTCCAGGCAGATCTGGAGGCAGACGGCCTCTCCTCCTGGGTGAGTCAGCTCACCGCTGACTTCGTTTGTGCCCGAGAGTGTGAACAGCGGGACAGAGAGCCGTTCTCAAGGAACTGGCCTTCTGAAGACTCTTAGAAGGACTTTGGCAGTTGATGAAAGGTATCCGTTCATCTACTTCTCTGACTTTAAAGTGTCCTGTTTGGTAAGGCGAGAGAAACAGCAAGAGCGCCTCATGACCACAGGAGCCGTTGTCTGCAAGACTAGGTGCTCTTCCCATTCCATAGATGTGCTGCCTTCATCCTCAGCTGTTCAGCCCTGAGTCCATGTTTTCTATTTCAGTGAGACCTCGGAAGACTGTCCGGGGCAAGCACGGTGTCATCCCTCCTGCAGCAAGGCCGGGACGACGGCCAGGGAAGAAGCCTCATCCTGCTAGGAAGTCTCGGCCGAAGGCACCACCTGTGGACGATGCGGAGGTGGAAGAGCTAGTAAGCAATTTCTCCCCTTCCCTCTAATGCTTGCTTCTCCTCTCCCCCCCCCCCCCCCCCCCCCCCCCGCCGTGTTGGGGATCCATCAGGCAACAGGTGGAAGCCTCCTCCCAGGCCCCCTGCCCCCAACTTGGGAGGCTGCTGCGAGCAGCAGATGGGTGGGCCCGGAGGCAGCAGGCCCTCCGGGAGCAGCTATGTCCGGCATTCCCCTGCTGGAGCCTGCAAATCTCGTCTCCCCTACTTAATAGGCAGCCCGCGACTTGTTAGGGATTTTAAAATAGTATCCATGTGTCTCTAGCGGCTCAGAGGGGCTGGGTCTCCATTGTGGGAATGTCAGCAATGTTGGAGCCTCACTCACTCTTGAGTCTTTTGCTGGCAGTTGTTGTGGGAGGGGTGTTACCCTCCCCTCTGCTCCCCTGACCAATGTAATTTTAGTGGTTTTACTTCACATTTCACTTGAGCTTTAAAGAACAATAAAGAAGCTCTTGAAAATTAACCTATTCTGACAGAGCACATCTGTGGGGGCAGGTTGGGGGCATAAAGCAAGCCTCCAGGGAGCTCGAGGGCATCGTGAGATCCTTCTGCTGGCCCGATTCTAACTCTTCAAGCCCGTGGCTCTGACCACTGTGAGCCAGAGCAGCGATGGCCCTCTGGAGGGGAAACCCGCCCTCCCTTCTCAGCCACTTAGGTCCCACAAGCCTGCAGCAGGAGAGCCTGGGAAAGCAGTCGTGCCTCTCGCTTTTCTTCCCTCATACCACCCCCCATCCCCGAATTAGCCACTAGTGGTCCCTGTGCCCAGTCCGGCTCTCTGCATGTGCTTGTTTATACCCCCTGGCAGCATGCATGTGATCCCAGGTCTGCCTGCTCTCAGGCCGCCGTCCTGGTGACTGGCCTCTCTAGCTGACCTCCAGCAGGACGGCTGTAATACGGCAACTGCTGCCTGCCCTCCGCCGCTTTGATCAGCGTCCACCGGGGAGGAGGCGGGTGGACTGATGGGAAGACGCCTGCCCCCTGGCTGAGCGTGCTTCCTGACTTGAATGTCAGATGATGTTGACTGTCTCTGCTCCAAGAAAATGGTTGAACTCCTTTTTTCTTTTCTATTTTTTCTTTTTTTTAAACAGCTACACACATTTTCTGCTCTGTCCACTCTTAGACCTGTAATAACATGTCTCTTTGTCCTGCCGCCAGGTACTCCAGACCAAGCGGAGCTCCCGGAGGCAAAGCCTAGAGTTGCAGAAGTGTGAAGAGGTCCTTCACAAGATAGTCAAGTACCGCTTCAGCTGGCCTTTCAGGTGGGCCTCACGTCTCCAGCACAGAGAGCGGGATCAGCCTTGTGCGTTCTCAGAGCACGCGGAGGGGGGGGGGGGGGGGGGGGGGGGGGGGGGCGCTGAGGCAGGCCATAGGATCCACCCTGATCCCTTATTTAGGACATGTGTGAGTGGCGGGGGAGTTACCTTCCCAGATTGGTAGGGACAGCACTTAGTACAAGGTGAACACACCTCTTCTCCGCCTGCCAGCTGGCTGGTCTCCACAGGGCGTGCGTTCTGGGAGCCGTGGTTTGATAAAACAAGGTTGTTCTTGGGGCTGCGCTCACGTCTCCATTCGGTTCCCCTCCATAGGGAGCCGGTGACCAGAGATGAGGCTGAGGATTACTATGACGTCATCACCCACCCTATGGACTTCCAGACAATGCAGAACAAATGTTCCTGTGGGAGCTACCGCTCTGTGCAGGAGTTTCTTACTGACATGAAGCAAGTGTTTACCAATGCTGAGCTTTACAACTGCCGGGGCAGCCATGTGCTAAACTGTATGGTGAAGACAGAACAGTGTCTGGTGGCTCTGTTGCATAAACATCTTCCTGGCCACCCCTATGTCCGCAGGAAACGCAAGAAGTTTCCCGATCGGCTTGCTGAAGATGAAGGGGACAGTGAGTCAGAGCCTGTTGGACAGTCCAGGGGACGAAGGCAGAAGAAATAGACAGGGCCTGGGTAAGGGAGCTGAGGTGGGGGGAATGGAGAGAGCAGGGAGGGTGAGTGGGGGGCGGGAGAGGAAGACGGAGAAGAGTGTGGAAGGGAGGGGGTCACGGGGAGTCCAGAAGTGCCCGTCGTCCCGAGCTTCTGCCGCCTTCCCCAGCTCTCCAGAGGGCCCTCCGCACGCAGAGCTCTTTGGAGAACCTACTCTTGGGTGGTCTCTGCCCAGAGACACCGCTGGTGGTAGACGAGGGCCTTGGCCCTGAGAGTGTCCAGGGAGAGGCCGGGGTACAGCCCTTGTCGTGGGTCCCCGTCCTTTAAATTTCTTCTTTCCCGGGCCCTCTCTTGCTTTGGCCACCACAACAGTGCCAAGCCTCTGGTCGCCGGGGGAGAGATTACTGCATTACATAGAAGGATCGGGGGTAATCAGGCCAACTGGGAGGTGGTGTTGATTTTTTTACTCTGTATTTACAGCCAGTCTTGTTTCTTCAAGCCCATCCTCTGTGTCTCGCTCCCCCTCCCTCAGGTGACGCTGTCAGTGAGTGCCACACCGCGTTCTGTATTCACCAGCATCATGAGACACTTGTGCTCTTTTGAGTTGCTCTTGGCAAAGTAAAGGGACATGTCCCAGAGCCATTCCTGAATCTAACCCCTTCCCATCCTTGTGACTGCGCTCTCCCTGCTCCCACCGCACCCCACCTCATCCCCTCAGAGAAAAAAAAAAACACTTAAAAAAACTAAAAAAAAAAACCCTACAAAAACCCTAAGGCACTTCACTTAGAGACTGGAGTCCTGCTTATAATCATGCGTATAACCTTAACTTCGATGGGTCTGGCCAGAGGGGTGTTGGAGCCCAGCCCACCCGCACACCAGACAAGCTCTTAGGGGAGCAGAAGAAAAGCAGGAAGAATTTAAATGTTTAATTTTTTTTTTAAATTGACTTTTCTAGTTACTAAAAGTTGCTTGTTTCAGCAGTGATATTGTATAAAGAACATCTTGTAAAATATTTCTGTCATCTTGCTTTGGCACATGTACAGTACAGTTTATATGATAACGTGTTCGCTTTACTTTGCCCCTGTCCTCCCTCAGCCCATCCTCTCCTTCAGAGAAGCCGGGTTGGAGGGTCATCAGGGCAGGTGGTGGGACCTTGGTGGGGAAAGGGATGTCCCTCTGCCTGCTCTGGCCGCTGATTCTGCCTCCTCCGTCTCCAGCCACCTCCTCCTCCCCCGCCATGTCCCCATGAAGCTGGATGAATCTTGCTGGTCCACCAGCTGCGTGGGGGGTGGGGAGGGGAGGCGGCTCTGCCGGCCCCTTCCGCAAGGAGTCTGGCGCTAATAGCTCTGATTAGGCAGAACTTCGTAGTCTTCTTTCCCTTTTATGGCAGATTTTGATAAAAATGCAAAACAGGGTTTAATTTTCTTTTCTACCAGCTTTGAATTTAGCAAATGCGAGCACCTCAGCTCTTCTGTAACTATTTAAGTTAAGGGAAAACGTGTCCACCAAGGGGATTGCAGCTCCTAGAACTTGAGAATAAAACCTCTTAATACTGAATTTCAAGGTGTGTTCCTGTCTCGCCCCGCCTGCCCTGCCCAGAGACTGGGGATCTGCTCCTGTGGCTGCTGGGTAGGTTTACTGTCCCATCTCCCACAGGCTCGGAGTTAGCACTGGCGCTACAGTTCCGTGGTCCCGGCCACCAACACGTCCCCCTGCCTCTCACCCTAGAGCCAGTCTGTTCTTGTTAACAGTGAGAATCCTGTGTTCCCACTTCAGTGACACCTGAATTGTTGGTTGTTGTTTTTTTTTTTTTTTAATTGTCTTTAAGGAGGAAGGGCCCCGTTAAAGGGTAACTTGTGATAAATTGGAATTTCAAATAAACATTATGTACTTGTGTTTATAAAGAAGCAGCAGTTCTGATGAATCTTCCTTTGTGCTCTTGGGGGTGGTAGCGGATCATGCGGCTCCCGGGGTTCTTCCCGTCGGCTCTTCCATGGGCAGTTTTCCCTCAGGAGCCAAGAGGACCTCTGACCGTGTTTTTTTTTAACCACAGGCCACACCATTTGCTGCATTTCTCTGCTTCCTGGAGAGGTTTCTGATGCCCGGTAATTGGAGCGTGACTTTCAAGCTTCTGGCCCAGTCTCTGAAACCCCCAAAATTTTTAGAAATTTCTAGGAGGGACGTCTGGGTGGCTCAATCAGTTAAGCATCTAACTCTTGGACTTGGCTCAGGTCATGATCTCATGGTTTTGGGAGTTTGAGCCCCACATTGGGCTCTTGTGTACTGACCGCATGGAGCCTGCTTGGGGTTCTCGCTCTCTCCTTGTCTCTGCCCTTGTCCCCGCCCCCCTGCTCCAGCTCTGTCTCTCTAAAAATAAACTTTAAAAACATTTTTTCTAGGAATTAAGGGCAAATATTTCTAAAGGCTTTGCTGGGAATTTGTGTGGGGCTGGAGGACTTAATTTGGGGGTAATTGCTGACATTTTAAAACACTTCTTTTCCAGGAAAATTCAAATATAACGTAAAAAGTGGAAATATGAATTCCCATGTACTCTGCTTCAATAGTTCTACCACATGAACAACTTTATGTCTCCATTTATTTTTTTATGATAGGAATTTTTATCAAGTCAGAGTGGTTGTTTCGGGTAGGTCACTGCTAGTGGCTACCTGCTTATGGAATTCAAAGATTTTGCAGAACCCACCATGTGAGCCCCTTGACCAAGAAGGGACACTGCTGGTTCCTGACCTGAACTTGGGGCAGGGTTGGGTAAAATGGTCAGAAAAAGGAGAAACTGAAACCCTGGATTGCAAGTTCTCCAGCTTGCTCTGTGGCATCACACTCCGGGAGTGTGAGCTTCGAGCCAGCCCCGGGCTTGAGCCAGCAGTTTGCCCCAAGGTCAGCTCCAGTCTGACCAGTGGAGCACCCGGGAAGGGAGCCGTGGGCCTACACGCACTTCCTACAGTCACAGCGGGACTCAGGGGCTTGGCCACTTCTGAGACGTTCTCTCCTCAGTGGGCTCAGGCTCCCCTGGGATGGTGCCTGGGGGCCAGGTCTCCTCAAGGGTCTGGTCATCTTAGCCATCAGCCTGTCTTCCCTGCTGTGGGCGTGACCTCCAGGAGCTGCCTAACTTCAGGTGGCTCCTGCAAGTGGGGACAAAAGAACTTTCCTCCCGAGGACTGGGGTCTGAGGCATTGCTTCTGGGAATCAACAGAGTCCTCTCCCCCCATCTCCTGCCTGCAATTTCTCCACAGACCCCGTTCCCTGGAGGGTGATGGGGGGGGGCGCTGCAGATGTCTCCTGGGGGTGGTAGTGAGGTGGTGTCTGGATTGCCCGGGAGCCGGGGCCTCCTTACCAGGATATTGAGTGAAAAACTCAAACCAGGCAGGAAGAGAAGCTTCTGTGACTGTCCCTGCCGGAGCCTTCAGACCTTTTCACACTCTGGGCAGTCGCCCTAGTCCTGGAGCTTCTGTCTCCTCGGGGTGTGGCTGTGAGGCCTCTCCTCAGTCTGACCTTGGTCAAGATCAGCGCCACTGATTCATTTGAACTTTGAATCGATTCCTTGGAACAAATACTGAGGTCAGGGCTAAGGAGGTCCCTTAACTTGAGTCTCCTACACACAAGCCTGGTGGGGGAGGGGCTGCAGACACACAGTGATGGGCCAGCAGGTGTTGCTTTCCGAGACACTTCCCTTGGGTTCTGGAATTTCCTTTGGGGGGCTGGTGGGAGGGGTTCCTCTGGACAAAACTACCCTAGGTTATAACACCTGCTGTCCCCCCTCCCCCACCCCCCCGGGTGGAGTCCATGGCGTGATGGAAATCACAAAGGCTCTGGCTGTGTGACCTTGAGCCAGCCAAGCACTCCACACTTCCCCTGTCTGAAAATGGGGAGAGAAGGATCAAATGGAGGACTTCTGTAAAAAAAATTTTTTTTAAACTTTTGAGAGAGAGACAGAATGCCAGTGAGTGATGGTAGAGTGAGAGACTCAGAATCCAAAGGAGGATCCAGGCTCTGAGCTTCAGCACAGAGCCCCGTGCAGGGCTTGAATTCATGAGCCTTGATCATGACCAAAGCCAAAGTCAGATGCTTCACTGACTGAGCCACCCAGGCACCCCTTGTAAAAGATCTTTAATAAACGTTTCCTTCTTCCTTCTCCCCCAGGGTCTGGGACCTTCCAGCATCCCCAAGTGCTGAGAGGCTGCTGGCAGAGCCCCTAACCCCCATCACTCCCCATCAGCCCCCTCCGAATTGTCCTGGGAGCCCAAATTTGTTTCCGCTGGGCGGGACTTAGCCTCTCCCGGGCCGCTGACTGGCAAGGGATGGGTGAGCTGGGGGCGCTCCCTGCAGACCTGGCCTGGCCTGCAAGCCCAACTCCAAGCATCCGCCGTCTCCCCTCCAACCTGGGCCCCTGTCACATTCAGTAGGCGCAATCTGTCAGTCAAGGACCCTCCTAGGGAGTTACAAGGTGTTAGGGTCATTTGGCTTCGCTGAAAAGAAGGCAAGAGGGCCTCCTGTGTGCTCTGAGAAGGAAGGATTTGGATGGGCTGGGCGTGCTGCTCAGGAAATGCATAAGCCCGAGGTGCTGAGGCTGCAGAGTTTCCCTGGGGGCTCAGGGCTGCTCCCTGTGCTGAGGAACAGCCCTTAACTCTCCTCAGCTCCTGATGGGAATTTGACACAGCCTGTTTGAGCACCATTTGGTTTCTTTCTTCCCCTGCAGAGATTGGTGGCTGGTGCAGGGCAAAGGGCTCCCAGGCCTCAGAGGCCCTGGGTTTAGGCACTCAGCCCTATCACTCAGGAGCAGTCGGCCTTGAGCCTCCCCTTGGCTCCGAAGTGAGGCTGGATCCTTGGGGCCTCCTGGCCGGCTCTGTATCATGCACCCAGAATGGTGACGGATACGCTCACCTGGCTTGAGTCACAGTGGCCAAAGCAGAGGCCAAGATAGGGCTCTGGGGTCTGCCCCCCTGCCCCAAGCTATGGGGGTCTCTGGGACGGCCACACACTCCTTACAGTGGCCAGAGAGGACGAAGCCCTGTACGTGCTTCCCCGGCACACAGATACACAGGTACCTTTTCCTGTCCCCAGGCACATGAATGTGTAAGCTGGCCTGGAGCAGCCACGCACACACCCTTACACCTGTCCCATCTCTCATGCAGCTCCCAGCACCCCAAATCCTTCCATTGCCCTTTCAGAGCTGGGGACCCAATTCCCACTGTGCTCAAGGGCTTCCCCATCCCGTATCTAGGCCACCAAGATTCCCACATACCAGCCAGGCCAGCCCCAACTCCACTCCACCCTGCAAGATGAGGGGATGCCGTGGGGTGCCCCGACTAGGAGCTCAAGAAGGGTGGACACACCAGCAATCTTGGAAGGCAAATAGGACAGTCACTCCAGCCTCAGCCCTCAGGCCCCAGGGAAGGGGCAGTAAGACACACCTACAGGAGACCGCGGGAGTAGGTCCTGAGCCCCCAAGGGAACTTTGGAGACAGGCTGATGCCCTTATTTTCTATGCAAATCAAGAAAGCAGTCCTTCCCAGGGCCACCAAACAGGCTAGGGTTCCCAGGGCCAGGGGTGTCCTCCCAGGGGATCACCGAGTACCCTGGCACGCATCCCCGGCACACTGTGGGAAGCGGGAACCCAGGACTCAAGCAAGCAGGTTCCCCAAAGGAGAAAAGACAGGTGAGAGGGGAAAACGCACACACGCAGAATCCGGGGCTCCTGCAAAGGCAGCTGCTCCACAGGGACGTCCTCCTGACCCGCCAGGAGGCAGAGAACGGGGCCAGGGCCATGAGGCCGGCAGCCACCCAGCTCAGCCCACGGGGAGAGGGGGACTCAGGACCCTCACCCTCCGACCTTCCCCCCTTCCCAGCCCACAGAGGACTCAGCGGTGCCACACGGGGGTTTATTCCAGTCACAGCTTCCAGAGAAACTCAACAATAAATTACATCATTAAATAAACTCCCTGCTGGACCACGCCCCCTTCTGCCCCTCCTCCTCTCCACATGCTCCCCCAGGACCCTGTGGCAACCTGGCCAGGACTGCCCCCTGCACTGGGCCACAGGGGAGTGAACCTCACTGGGTCCCAGTGAATGAGGGTGGAAGGAGAGGCTCCACACCCTGGTCCTCGGCCCCTCGCACTCACTTGCCTGACCTTGACAGCTGGGCAGCTGCTAGTCAGCTGTCTCCTCCGGAGGGGGGGCCAGAAGGGGGCAACAGCCGCCCCGCGCAGGCCTGTGTCCCTAGAGGTGCGTGGGGTTCTCCAGAGAAGGGTCCGTCTTAGTCATGTGCAAGACCACGGTGGGGGCCTTATAGTGGCAGTGGGTGCCACGGCCATAGCCCCCGGGAGCCCGGCAGGCCTTTGCCCGGGCCCGGCCAGCTGCCATCTTGCGGTGGCACAGGCTCTGCCAGGTCTGGAAAGTCTTGGAGCTCCACACCCAGACACCGCTGGTGATGCCCACCACCAGCGACATGAAGATCTTGAGCATAAAGACAGCCACGGTGGGCACCGAGCCCCCTTGTAGTGAGCAGTCCCTCCGGCCCCCGGGCATGGTGGCTGCCAAGCAGGGCTGCTCTGTGGCCCGCAGGCGCCAGAAGTCCATGTTGAGGCGTTCATAGACGTAGCACACAATGACGCAGGTGGCAGGCACCGTGTAGAGGATGGAGAAGACCCCAATCTTGACCATGAGCTTCTCCAGCTTCTCCGTGTTGGTGCCGCCCGTCTTCATGATCTTGCGGATGTGGAAGAGGGCCACGAAGCCGGTCAGGAGAAAGCTGGTGCCCAGCACCAGGTAGCAGGAGAGAGGAACCAGCACGAAGCCCGTCAGCGCGGCCGCATCCATGCTGGCCACGTAGCAGAGCCCGGTCAGCTCGTCGCCCGCCACCTTGCGCAGCGTCAGGATAACGATGGTC